CCTGCTTGGCCTGGGAAATGGCCTTTATACACCTCATCCTCCCCTCCTGCCTTCGCACCTCGTTGACTACCAGCTTCCTCCTTTGAGCTGGGCCTGCCTTGTGCCATTTATGAGGAGCTAAACTGAGCCCAAAACCCCCTCTTCCCTGCTGTACCTGTCCCACGATATCACCAATTTGAAGGGCAGCCTTTGCCTCTACTACAGATTTCTTTGCTGACCACTTTCTACCAGTTTTTAACACAGGTGCTGCCTCCCTTACACATTTGTCGCGTGACTCTACTAAGGTCATTTCCAGTCTGACCTTGGTGCACTTAAACTCCTCGGTTAAAGCAGAGACTGGCAGCTGCAATATTTCTTTACTATAAAGTCCCACTCTGCTGAGGCAGCGTGGAACTCCCAACCATTTCCTGATGTATGAACTTATTAACGCTTCCAGCTTATCCACTGTTGTCAAAGAAACCTTGTACACAGTCAGTGGCCACAGCAAACTCGGCAGTAGACCAAACTGAAAGCACCAGAGTTTTAGTTTGCCTGGTAGAGCACAGCTGTTTATGCTCTTCAACCCTTCCACTGCTTGTCGTCTAACTTCTCCCACTCGAACTGTGTCCTTTAGATCCCCATCGTACCATCTCCCAAGACTCTTCACTGGCTTCTCAGAAACTGTTGGTATTGCCTCACCATTAATGAAGAATGTTTTATCTACTACCTTTCCTTTAACTATCGAGATTCTCCTTGATTTAGAGGGCTTAAATTGCATTCGTGCCCATTCAATATTATCGGTTAACCCTCTAGGCGCCACGGTCGAGTTTACTCAACAAGATGCGGCACTGAATAAAACGGCCGATTTTGTCAAATTGGATGTCAAATTTCGTTCGACCTCCCCTCCACTGGATGGCAGACATGTCATACTTCATCCCCGAATCAAAAAACACGTCATGCTTCTATACAAAATGTTCGAGTTAGAGCGCATTGAATCTGTGCTATCAAAAGCGGGGCTAGTGTGCGAGTGAGCCATTTTATCAGAACCTCTCCGCAATCGCGGCGACGGTATTGTGGTGGAGACTTTGTCTAATACCACTGGGTATGTTAGACGAGGTCGAAGTATTCATAAGACAGTTAGGAGGCAACGTGGAGGGCGGGTGGGGAGTCACAATGACAATGATGACAGTAGTCCGAGCTGTGCACACTCGGCGCGCGCGCGCGACGCAGATCTGGCCGCGCTGTTCATATCATCTCACTCATGATCTGTGCCTTGCCGTGGCGAGTGAGCGTTTGAACTAAACAGGTCTTGTCTACTTGTGTTTGTATGTCATATGAATAATATATATGTGCCCCATACATGGAATCAGAGTGCCTACTGTATTTAGTAAATGGAAAATCTCTACAGCAAAAGGCCAACCACTACATGCATTCGGTTTGTTTCTACCATTTATTAGTAATGATTTACACAGTTTGTTTACTACTTACTATATACCTGAGCATTCAGTATTGTGTAATATAGCATACAGAAGGTGATGGACATTTTGGGGGGAAAGAAGTGCTGCATTTAAACATGTGGCTTTTCATGAAAATTCTATAATCCAAGATTGCCGCCACCATATGACGTCATAATATGCTAATTAGATGGGAAAATGTAATCCCTACATAAACTTTGGGTCATCCTTAATATTTCTCTAATTTACAGAAAGTGTCTATCTTTGATCACTTTTAAGATATAGCCTTTTGAAATTAAGATGTCAAAATCGAACGTTTTAGGAAAAGACCTCTGGTGCCTAAAGGGTTAACTTACCCAATAACTGATTAGTGCAGGCTACTGTTGTAGTCATGGTCATGTAGTCATCCATGTATGCTCTGATTGGTGGTAGTCGCATCCCAGAAGCCAATCGCTCTCCTCCTACTACCCATCTTGATGCCCTAATGATTACTTTCATTGCCATGGTAAAAGCCAGTGGAGAAATGGTGCATCCTGCCTCTTTATTCCAACCTCTAAGCATTGCCATATAGTGCTGAATTCTGGAGTTGAGAAACTAAATTGCAAATCTCCAAAATAGGCTTTCACTAAATTTGTTATTGACATTGGTACTCTGAAAAAATCAAATGCTGCCCAAAGAAGCTCATGTGGCACTGAACCATATGCATTAGCCAAATCCAGGAATGTCACATGGAGCTCCTTCCTCTCCTTTTTTAGCTGATTGAATTCGTTGCCAGATAACATTGATGTGTTCTAAGCATCCTGAGGACCCTGGAATGCCCGCTTTTTGAACTGAAGTGTCAATGAAGCCATTCTTTAATAGGTAGGAGGACAATCTCTGAGCAATAATGCTGAAGAAAATCTTACCTTCAACGTTTAATAGTGAAATAGGACGAAACTGACTGATGCTTGTAGCATCTTTTTCTTTAGGTATAAAGACTCCACCTGCTCTGCGCCATGCTCTAGGTACAACCTGTTTTTCCCATGCCACTTTTATCAATTTCCACAGAATTCGCAGAACTCCTGAAGCACTCTTGTACACTCTGTACGGAACTCCATTAGGCCCTGGAGATGATGAAGCCCTTGCCTTTCTCACAGCCTGCTCTACCTCTTTCCACTTAGGTGCACAGACCTCCATTTGGTATTCTGGTGGATTGATAGGTGGGATGTCTGATGGAATTGACATAGGCTCATGCCTTTTTGCATCTGGATGCGTTTCCTCCAAATATCTCTCTAGCTCAACCCTAGATGCTTTTAAAATGCCATTCTTCTCACTGGTAAATAACTTCTTTACGAATTTGAATGGGTCTTTATATAAATTAGCCCTCACACGTTCCTTTTATGGCCCTTTGTAAGAGATTGAGTCCCTCCTTATGATTTTTTTCTGCTCTTTTCAATTGCTTCCTCAGCTGTCTCCTTTCTCTAACTAACCTTTAAATTTTCTGCTGCCATCTAGACATTCCAGGAGTAGTTTGAACTTTTTCCTTCCTTTTTTCCACACCAAACCTCTCACTTCCATATGCGTAAATGATGTCCCCAAATTTATCCAGCTTTAGACCCTCTCTGTGTACACAGATGTCATTTAGATATCATCATAACTAAGGTAATTGTTTTGGAGAGACATTAATCCGTAATTGGCACTTCTAACGAGAGCACTTTCCAAGTTTAGATCAGGTGCCAATCTGTATGTTGCTCTGAAGACTGTACAAAATGAATGAAAGCAGGAGAGCAAACACTTTATGTGCAATCAATCAATATCTCATGGTGTAAAGGTATTGAGTCGCAAAATAAACAAGCGATTTCTATCCAACTAACACATTGTGTTATTATTCTTCATTATTTTAGCCTCTCTTTCACACATACAGACTGCGCTCTCATTGTGATGCACCTCCTTGCCTCAGCCCCAGCCCTAATTAAAGCTTCCTTTGGGCCTCACTATGTGGAGCACCAAACCAGATCACATCTCTGGTGGGCTGAGGAAGGAATAGAGGGTGAGAAAGAGAGGAACAAGTGAGAAAAGGTGGAGGGGCATCGAGATATAGAGGCATGATCAGACTGCAAATGCTGCCTGGGAGCCTTTGATAGGTTTTGACTGTTTTTTGATTGCAGGTTTCATTAAAATTGTCATTGTTCTTGTTTCATAAATATTTTGCAGTGTGGGAAACGGTAGCAGATGATCTCTAATTACTCTCAGGGCATGTTTCATTCTAGATTGGCAAATATTTTCATTCAAAATAAGCTTTTGTTTGATTAATTGAGAGACTGAAAAGAAATACAATAGAATGATGGGAAACAGTGGGTGCAAAGACAAAGAGGAAATACAGAGAGAGCAAGAAGTCGGAGAAAAAAGAGGGAATTTTATCTGTCAAAGACTGGTTTAACAACCTTGGTCTTCATAGTGGTGATAGCATGGTTACAGGACTTGCTGCAAACTTTTTTTACAACCTAGATTTCACTGTAGATTGTTGTTTTGTCAGATTGTTGTTTTGTTATAGTTCCCAGGATTAGGCTAAATCACATGGACTATTCTTGTAATTGTCTCTTGGGTGTTTACGGATGGTGCTCAAGGCTAGAACATAAGAACAAATGCTAAGACTCATCTGGATTGAGCAGCAGATCTGAGTCTGTGCAGCTTTAAAATGTGTTCCATTTCCCATTGCGTTCAGAGGAGGATGGTGCCTGGCACAATGCAAAAGCCTTTTAATCCCCCATTTCTATAGATATTTTCCTCTCTGGCATACATTGGCCCTGGAATGTTGTTCAGAAACAGGAAACCTTGTATGGCTTGTTGATTAATGATGTGTGTCATATAACAATCACCCCGGCCCTTGCTGTCTATATGGAGGCCTGAAAGACAGGTGGCAGGGTGAGATAAATGATCCCTATTCTGGAAAGCCAGTATATGGCTCATTTGCTACCATTTTAATGATTAAGACAATGAAATCCAAGGGTATGGCACTATTTGTTCTTACAGCTAATGAATGATTTGTTTGGAAATAGTCCAAATTGCAGTGGGTTTTCCTGGTTTAATTTATTTACAGGAGTTTACAGCAACCACTATGCACCTATACACAAATGCATGCATTTATGCCAGCTTGTACCAGCTTGTGTGCCCATCTCATCATTGGCAGCCATGAAAATATGGACCAATTAAATGTTTGATTTAAAGCATACATAGATTTGGCTTCCATTATTATGCAGAATCCATTAGGGAATGTTATTGTCCTGTTTTATTACTCATATGTTTGTAGTGGCTACATAATTAGTTTATAGTGACGAATAACCAAATGTGTTCTTTTAAAATTTGAGTTATATTTTATAAATTGCTTGTAAAATTTGGTTTTCAAAAAATGTGTTTGTATAATCTGTGAAATTTAATATTTTTGTTTTATATTTTACATAAAATTAAATAAAATATGTGTGCATATCTTTGTTTGTAATCAATTGTTTTTATTTTTACATTTTGAGAAACCTTGATATTTTCCTGTTAAATTAAGCTCACATGTATTGTCTTTGTTTCATTCGACAGATTCATCAGAGAAGACTCCAGCAGCTGTCCTTCAATTCAAGATCAGTTTGAAAATGTATCAAGCACTAACTCAGCTATACCGGATATGAGCAAATATGGGGACTCTGTTAGAAACCATGACAAGCCAACAGCTTTGACAGCCCAAAAGGAGATCCCTTTTTTGCATATGTGAAAGATATTTTCTGTACTCTCAATAACAAACTTATAGAAGAATTCAACCTTTTTTACCTTTATTTTAAAACACCCCTTCCTCTCCACTCCAATCATGAAGAGTTTGTTGACTGCCCTCTCTCCTTCCTGTACCACTCTCCTCTTCCTTCCCTTTTTCCTTCTCTTATGCCCACCAGAATTGGTCAGAGGTGACTGCTGGCTGATCGAGGGGGATAAAGGTTATGTGTGGTTGGCCATCTGCAGCCAGAACCAGCCACCATACGAGACAATCCCACAGCACATCAACAATACAGTACATGACTTGCGACTTAATGAGAACAAGATCAAAGCTATTTTTTTCACTTCCTTGAGTCGCTTTACCAACCTGACCGACCTCAACCTCACCAAGAATGAGATCTCGTACATCGAAGATGGTGCTTTTGCAAGCCAAGCAAATTTACAGGTCTTGCAACTTGGATATAACAAGTTAACCAACCTGACAGAAGGCATGTTGCGAGGTTTGGGACGTATGCAATGTCTTTTCTTGCAGCATAATCTCATAGAAGTCATTGCCACTAATGCATTCTGGGAGTGCCCCAGCCTCAGCAACCTGGATCTGTCATCGAACAAGCTTGCCCGGCTGGACCCATCCACTTTCACTGTGTTGGGCAGGCTCATGGGATGTGAGCTTGCAGGAAACCCTTTCCACTGCGGATGTGAGCTTTACAGTTTCCTCAGCTGGTTAGAGGCCTTCAACAATGTCACACACACCTATGATCGACTTCAGTGCGAGACACCACGGGAGTTGTTTGGCTATCCGTTGCTGAGTCCTGTTGCCGGGCATGGACGGAGTGCTCGCAACATCCTTTCCTCTGTGTGCCGGGATGGGGTGCTGATTCCTGGGATGACATCTCTGCCACCTGATCCTGATTCTTCAGGAGTGGGACCTGAAATGTTTGAGCACATTGGACCATACCATCAGCCCACAACTTCCTCCTCATCTGACAATGCATTTAGTCCCAGCATCAAACTGCAACATGTGTCTCTTTCCTCTGCATCCCTTCTGATCCAGATTCCAAAGCCATACAGCAAAATGTACATCCTGGTGCAGTACAATCAGAGCTTTGTGTCAGATGTGATGAACTTGAAGAAAAAAAAGGAAATGATCACCCTTAACAAGCTCAAAGCAAACACCAACTATACCTTCTGTGTGGCATCTATACGCAACTCTCAGCGCTACAACCACACTTGTTTATACTTTTCTACCCGAGCACCAAATCCAGATGACTTGATGCCTCCACCCTCCACGACCACCCACTACATCATGACCATTGTTGGCTGTCTCTTTGGAATGCTCATTGTCCTTGGGTTTGTCTATTACTGCTTACGAAGACGTCGCAGAAATGAAGAGAAAGAAAAATCCATCTGTGTGAAGAAAACCATTCTGGAAATGCGATATGGACCAGAGGTGGCAGCAGCAGTTGCAAATGACCCCACAGCTGTCCAGAAACTGCACGAGCAGAGCCACCATCAGCATCACCATGGCAAACTGCCCATGTCCTCCTCGTCCAGCTCTGCCATGCTTGGCCATGGGTCTGCCAACACTAGTTCCTCACGTCTGTCCTCCATCCCTCAAGTAGAGAAGATGGCAACTGCTTTCTCTGAGGCCATGGCCAGTAAGGGCAACTATATGGATATTAGGACTTCTGTTGGAGGAGATGAAAGGGGTAGAGATGGAGCTGTGATGCATGGTGTTCGGGAGGAAGACCTCAGGGGGGATGATGGAAGTGACTTGGGTGATGATTCAGATGATGATGGCCGGGGATCAGCATCCGAGATTTCAACCATTGCGATGGAAGTTGACAAGGTCAACCAGATAATTAACAACTGTATTGATGCCCTCAAGCTGGACTCTATTGCAGCTTCTTCTGTTTCCAACACAGCAAGTGGTCCCACCTCACCCCCACCTACCTCTACCTCCTCCCTGACCAGAGGACTGATTCCCATCTCTTCTAGTATCAATGATACATGCCACGTCCTGCCTTCCCCAAAAATCCCTCCCCCACCTCCTCTTCCCTTCTCTGCTCCTCTGTCTGAGAGGCCTGGGATCACAGGTGGTGGCTTTGTGTCTCCACCATATCGTCCACCACCCCCAGCTACTGCAGTGAGGCCTATTCAAAGACAGATGAGCGCAGATGCTGCTGTCATCGTCTCCTCTTCCAAGAGGCACTGCCGCCCTTCCAGTGGGAAAGGGGGTCGTGTTTACAGCCTAGATGTTCCGGAACCCCACAGCCCAGATCCCTGCCATTATTCAGACAAGGGCAGCCCGTTGGGGTGTGGTGAGCCCCTGGAGAGGCTCCCTTTAGTAGGTAGTGGAGGAGGAGGTGGCTGTAGCATTGACGGTGGTACTGTAGATGGGATGGGCCTTCAGCAACACCTGGAGGTGCACCCAGACTACCACTGTGCAGAGCATCGTCATTCAGTCCCTGCCTTATACTACGAGGGCTCTCATGACTCCCCGGCCCAAAGGGTCTCTTTTCTCAAGCCTCTGTCACGCACCAAGAGAGACGCTGCTTCCTACTCTCAGCTCTCTCCACGTCACCACAATTACTCTGGCTACTCCTCTAGTCCAGAGTACTCCACCGAGAACACCTTGCGCATCTGGGAGCGCTTCCGTCCCCACAGAAAGGGTCCACGTGAGGAGTCATGTTACGTAACAGCTGGAAACGCCTTGCGCAAAAAGGTCCAGTTTGCCAAGGGGGAGGACTTGCATGACATCCTTGACTACTGGAAGGGTGTGTCAGCACAGCAAAAGCTGTAATCTATCGGACTGTGTGGATACACAGCACAGGTCTCTTTTACTGCCTGATAAACCAGAAGAGCAACTCTAGTGAGCAAGTTGGGTTATGGCTGAAGTTTGCAAAACAGAGCCAAGTTTGTCAGGGTTTGAGGACAAGTTGTTTAATTGTTTTTGTACAGTGAGCCAGAAAGAGTAAAAAGAGCCTGAGAATACACTACATACATAAGATAACATTCAGAGATATCATTTGGAGCATTGTTATTCTCAATGAAAAAGGTCCAGTGGGCTTATCATTTGTCAATAATTGAAATAATCTGTGTATTCATTGTTCATATCAATAGTGCAAACTTAACTAGAGTCCTGATTAAGCCTGAGAGACAATCTCTGTTTGTACTCTCAACTCATCAAATCATTGGTCATCGCATTAATTTGTTAGGTGTGAATGTGTGTTTTAGAAGGATAAAATGGATGTGCTGATTTTCTTCTAACCTCTCAAAAGCAGTTTCCCTCTTCCATATTACAGAGACTGTGCACAGGGCAACCACATTTACATTTCAATAGCACTCCTCATGTGAAAAATAAAGGAATAGAGGAAAGAAAAAGATAAAAATGAAACAGAAGAATCTCCCGGGGGAACCTTGGAATAGTCAGCCGTGTTTGACAGCTGCTGAGCTGTACTGCTGTGCTGAGCAGGATGGCATAAATAGTGCAAGGGTTTCTAGAGAAAATAGATTTACCTGGGTTTGTGGGAAATGCATAGATCTGTGTTAGAGATTAAAGAGACATAGTTCTGTACATCTCTCATCTCTGATGCATTATTAATAGCATTTTCTTATCAGAGGTTACCTTGTCACTTGTATCAAAGCAAGAGCATAAAGTGTCTGTTGGCAGCAGATGTTTATGTATTCTGTTCTTCTACCCTGAGGTCAATTTGTTTAGTCCATTAATTGGCTTTTGGAAGCCTGTTGCTGACAGCTGACTCATTCAACAGGCAAAGTGACCTATACCCTGGTATGGCACTTTTAGACTGACACTTTATATGGCATGTTTCTCCGGGCTCTTTTTTGTTTATTTGTTCATTTGTTTATTGGTGGAAATTATTATCCATTATACTGACTTTGAAAGGAAGACCGAAAAAAGGAGCAATATTTAATTAAATAAAAAATAAATCTTTTAAATTAATAGATCATTTATAGATCCTGGGTTTCAACGATGATAATACAACTCCTCTCCCAAAAGCACTTAATCTCAAATATAGATCTCATAAAATAATACATTATTAAAGGGTTAGTTCACCCAAAAATGAAAATTATGTCATTAATGACTCACCCTCATGTCGTTCCAAGCCTGTAAGACCTCCGTTCATCTTCGGAACACAGTTTAAGATATTTTAGATTTAGTCTGAGAGCTTTCTGTCCCTCCATTGAAAATGTATGTACGGTATACTGTCCTTGTCCAGAAAGGAAATAAAGACATCATCAAAGTAGTCCATGTGACATCAGTGGGTTAGTTAGAACGTTTTGAAGCATCGAAAATACATTTTGGTCCAAAAATAAACAAAAACTACGACTTTATTCAGCATTGTATTGTCTTCCGGTTCTGTTGTCACTCCGCGTTCACGAGTCCGCAGTGACGCTGCTGACGTAAGACGCTGCTGACGTGTGTCTGGTGCGTCCGTGTATTCGGGTTCAAATAAATATGGCTGGGCAAAAAAATGCAAGTCTTCCTCCTGTCGAAATCCTTAGACATGTTTGCAAAGATTGTTTTGTTTACAGCGTGCGTCTCCCTCAGACTGCAAACGAAGCTCGGGCGCACCAGATTGCACGTCAGCAGCGTCTTACGTCATCAGCATCACTGAACGCGGAGTGACAACAGAACCGGAAGAGAATACAATGCTTAATAAAGTCGTAGTTTTTGTTATTTTTGGACCAAAATGTATTTTCAATGCTTCAAAACATTCTAACTAACCCACTGATGTCACATGGACTACTTTGATATGTCTTTATTTCCTTTCTGGACAAGGACAGTATTTCATACATACATGTTCAATGGAGGGACAGAAAACTCTCGGACTAAATCTAAAATATCTTAAACTGTGTTCCGAAGATGAACGGAGGTCTTATGGGCTTGGAACGACATGAGGGTGAGTCATTAATGGCATAATTTTCATTTTTGGATGAACTAACCCTTTAATGGTATTTATTGAAAAAAATGACAAATAATATTAACTCAACACCTCTGTCGTTGATTATTTTATTAATTCCCATTTGGATTACACTAACTAATTAGCAATTAACCAAGGCTATATCCTTAAGTGTGCGAGGGTAAGCAGCCAAGACCTCCAATTTGATTAAAAGATCTCTCTCTCTCTCTCTCTCTCTCTCTCTCTCTCTCTCTCTCTCTCTCTCTCTCTCTCTCTCTCTCTCTCTCTCTCTCTCTCTCTCTCTCTCTCTCTCTCTCTCTCACACACACACACACACACAGCAACCACAGTCAGCCTACAGTTTCAGGGACCAATAACCCAAAAAAAATTGATTAGTGGCACTGTGGGAAGATGAGGTGGCAGGTGAGACATCTAACAGGCAACTGAAATCAAATTAATGGTGTTTAATCAATGAAGTATAACTATAACCGCCCCAATGCATGGCTTAAAGGGTTCACCCAAATTTACTCACCCTTGTGTCATTCCAAAACTATATGACTTTCTGTCTTCTGCGGAGCACAGGATGTGACAAAAGCTGCAATTCTCATTCATTATAATCGGGGGGGAAAAAGCGCAAAAGAAACTTAACAACTCAGAAAGAATGAATGTCACATGGGTTTGTAACAACATGAACATGAGAGAATTTTTCAAAAGGTAAACTATTCCTCTAACTCTGACCTGAGATCTGAGCACTTTGTAACGGGCACTTAATTTGACATCACTATTGATGAAACTCATTTGTGGAGATATCTATATTGGAAATAATGAGATAAATTAGATGCAAACAGCATCTGCATTGGAATGCAAACAGCTCAAATGAGGGTGAGTGTTAGCATTAGCAAACCTCTTCATTCAACCCTCTTTATTCTGCATCAGGTGTTTTTGTGCCTTCAGTAAAACGGTCCATTATTTGTTAGTATCACAAACGAGTAATTTTTGTTTGATTGGTTCATATTCTTTACATCATATCATATCCCTTATTTAAAGGGATTTCATTGTAAATACATGTTCATAATATACCACTTTTCTTTCCATATCTCTTGATTAAGGTTTTTCATTGTAAATATGTGATAGATACCTGCCAACATTGGACATACACTCAGGCACAATGTCTCTTTGGTTCTCTCTTTTTCGAGGGCTTTAAAAAAAATCCAGTCCAAGGTATATGACAAAAGTCGTTTATAGGATGCTTTATGGTTTACAGAAAGAGGAACAGCAGCAGCTATAACATATGTGGATTATTAGGGCTTTGTGTGTACTTAAGGAAGACATTGCACACAGCTCATTTAGAGAGAATGGACCCTAACTGGATAAATCATTCTTGGGCAACTGAAATGGACTCTCAAAGGACTGGTACCGGAGGCTTACTGTGACATTTTCCTTACTTTATGAACATGATTTTAAAACCTCTTGGACTGGTCTTAAGGAACTAACCATCAACACTCAATCAAAAATGACTTTTCATTTTTTTTTATAACATAACTCTGATGCCCAGCTTTATGTTTTAGACATGGTTTTTATTGTGCCTCCCCTCATTGACAAAGAAAAATAGAAAGAAAAAAAGACTTGCTTTCAGCCATTTTTGCTATGAATTCAAGGTTGAATAACAAAAGAGGGAGTAATAATACAATTGGCATGGCATCTGTAAGATTTGTTATTTATTAATTGTTTAAGAAAATGTGTAAATACTGTGTTTTTTTTCTCTTGCTTGGGGAGTAAGACTGATTCTTCATGCTGTTATCTTGCTCAAGGTCATTCTCCTTCAACATTCCCTGTTGAATGTTTTCCCATTCATTCTGGACAAACAAGCAAATCAAGTTACGGTATTTTTATATCAGACCTTTATTCACACACTATGTTTATAATACATTCTTTCTTTCTTTGATTTACTTGGCCTTTAAATCTTTGCTTGACATATCACATATAAATTACCCAGTTCAGCCAAATTTGTGTTTGTTTACTATCCTACTACAGAGCTAATAGGCTAAGATTCCTCCTACAGCCACTTTCTTCATACACCGAATTAATCAGTAGATGGTTGGAGTCAGAGTTTCGTCTCTCAGGATACTGATGTTTTTTGAAGGATTGAATAATGCATGTATCTGTCTCTTCTTCTGGATCCTTTGCTAAAGTGTCATTATATTCCTGCTCTTTGCTAGTATTGATAGTGTTATCAATTGGTCATTCAGAAGTTCCTGAAGAACATGTGTCATGTTGCCTGTTGACACCAGCTCTTTTTGTTGTTGTCTTGAATGAAATGGTGATATACTAGTGGGCTGTACGCAGTTGTTTGTATTCCACTCACTGTAACCATTCAGTATCACAAGACTTAGGATATATGACGCTGTTGCATAATTTATGATGTTTGGTGTCATAGTATCAAACTTAAATGGCCTTTTTTACACCAATAGGCCCTTTCTGAAGGCCCTTTCACTATAGTTGTGTTAAGGAAGTTGATTGTACTAAGGGCAGAAAATACTTAAACATTAATCACTGTCAGCTTTCAGCAATATTAGACAGAGTGCAAAGTGGATTACTCTTCCACAGCAGTTTTTACTTTTTCTAAGCTCTTTAGCCTCCTTTTAGCGTTAGACACTATGAAAGGAGATTGGCTTGAAGTGAGGAAAAAAGATATGGATTAATGCTTTGAAACAAGATTTTCATTCCAGCCTCCCTCCTTTTTTACGGCCTTGGAATGGCAAGAAACGTTTGTAGGAAATTAACTAGCTCTGTCATACCATAAATCCCCATTATTCTTTTTTCTGAGACAATAAGGTAACTTTGAATGACTTATTTGTATTGCAGTTCTTAATTTGTAACGAACATATTTAAAACTTATTTTTACAAGAACAGAATCCATATTTAATTGACTTAATAATTACTAAGGACCAAATATTGTTCGACAAGCTTATTATTGCCCCTCATGCCACTAAATCTAGTCCAAACGACTACATGCAGTTAATGTATTCTGTGTCTTTGAAGGTCCTCCTCGTTGACTTTGCCTGTCTTTGTTCATGCTCAAAAGAAGCCCAGAGAAAATCACTCTGAGGTTCTCTGGGGTCAGGATAATTGCACCTCTTTTATGAAGCTTTTAAGTCATTTTCTCCCTCTTTACGCAGAAGAGAACCACACTGCCACGTTTTCCCTCTGATATTTTCCGCTTGTTCTTGTCTCTCATATGTTCTATGAATTCCGATGGTTTGACTGCAAGGAGCAAAACATGGCAGGATTGTGAGAAACAGGCTGCAGGATGGATACATTTGATTGTTTAGAACTAAAAGAGACACTAAATGGGCCAGTTGCTGTGCTTCTCCAAAACGCAACCCATGGGCTTTAATAACCCAATTAAAGACATATTTTATATTAGACTGTGATGGAGAAACATAAGAATGCATTGATTTGAAGAAGATTCTAAGAAACAAGTGCAGGATAGAGGGGTTAACTCTGAATCAGCTCATCAAAGTGAGTCGGAGAATGCCGTTATGATTATGGAAAACACATTTAACACTCAGGATCAGGAGGAGACAGTAAATCAGGGAAGGAGATGATGCAGCAAGTGTGTAGGAGTACTTTGAGAGGAGAAAGAGGAACAGAGAGTAAACGCAAGCTGCATCAACCTGATAATGGCTGGAGCTTTGAATGAATAAACGGCACACACAATCTGTAATGTTGTGAAAGAAGACAGGCTATGCATGAGCAATGAAACAACCCTAGACGATTAGATAGTCTGAATTGCTTATGAGATCATGACTGAATCGGATCCAAATGTTTGTTTTTGGTTCATTAGTTCAGTACAAAGGGATAGTTCAATCCCAAAATTAAAATACTCACCCTGGTTTTGTTTTGTTTTGTGTGTTTCGTTTCTTTTCTTTTCTTGTTG